TGAACTTGCCGGTGGTGGTTACTATAACGGAAAGAGCATGACAGAGGCCATCTCCAAGATCGAAAAGTCCATTCCTCCTGGACGTGGTATCACTGTCAACTTGATTTACGTCAACCCTCGAGCTATGGCTTGGCAAATTCCCCTCATCGGGAAATTGAGGGCCGATGGTGTGCCCATTGAAGGTCTCACAATCGGCGCTGGTGTTCCTTCCATTGAAGTCGCCAATGAATACATTGAAACCCTGGGTATCAAGCATATAGCCTTCAAGCCAGGCTCTGTGGATGCTATTCAGCAGGTCATCAACATCGCCAAAGCCAACCCGAAGTTCCCTGTCATCCTTCAGTGGACCGGTGGTCGTGGTGGTGGTCACCACTCCTTTGAAGACTTTCACCAACCCATTCTACAGATGTATAGCCGCATCAGACGGTGTGAGAACATTGTCCTTGTCGCTGGTAGTGGCTTTGGTGGTGCTGAGGACACTTACCCTTATCTCTCTGGAGCATGGTCTTCGAGCTTCGGATATCCCCCGATGCCATTCGACGGGTGCCTCTTTGGTAGTCGCTTGATGATTGCCAAGGAAGCACACACATCTAAGAATGCCAAGAAGGCAATTGCTGACGCCCCTGGCCTTGATGACAAAGATTGGGAGAAGACTTACAAGGGTCCTGCTGGCGGTGTGGTCACCGTTCTTTCCGAGATGGGTGAGCCGATTCATAAGTTGGCGACAAGAGGTGTTCTGTTTTGGCATGAGATGGACCAGAAAATCTTCAAACTTGACAAGGCGAAGCGCGTACCAGAGCTCAAGAAGCAGCGTGATCATATCATCAAGAAGCTCAACGACGATTTTCAAAAAGTGTGGTTCGGTCGTAATGCCGCTGGGGAGGCGGTCGATCTTGAAGACATGACGTACGCCGAGGTGGTTCATCGCATGGTGGACCTCATGTATGTCAAGCATGAATCGCGCTGGATTGATGCCTCTTTGAAGAAGTTGACTGGCGATTTCATCCGTCGCGTCGAAGAACGCTTCACAACCGCGGAAGGGCAGGCTTCTCTGTTACAGAACTATTCCGAGCTCAACACTCCTTATCCCGCGATTGATAACATTTTGGCAGCTTACCCTGAAGCGGCTACTCAATTAATCAACGCGCAAGATGTTCATCATTTCCTTTTGCTTTGTCAGCGGCGCGGACAGAAGCCTGTTCCATTTGTTCCGGCACTGGACGAGAACTTTGAGTATTGGTTCAAGAAGGACTCTCTTTGGCAGAGTGAGGACTTGGAGGCCGTGGTTGGGCAAGATGTCGGAAGGACCTGTATTTTGCAAGGTCCAATGGCTGCCAAATTTTCCAACGCCATAGACGAGCCTGTCCAACAAATATTGGATGGTATTCATCAGGGTCACATCAAGGGTCTTCTCCAGGACGTCTACGGCGGTGACGAGTCCAAGATCCCTGTCATCGAGTACTTCGGAGGCCGGCTTCATGAAGCCGTCAGTGAGCTAGACATTGACGGGCTCACAATCTCTGAAGATACGAACAAAATCAGCTATCGTCTATCATCCTCTCCTTCAGCCGATCTTCCTGACCTTGACCTGTGGTTACGTCTCCTCGCTGGCAAATCATACTCTTGGAGGCACGCTATCTTCTTGGCAGACGTCTTTGTTCAAGGCCACCGTTTCCAGACAAACCCAATGAGGCGGATCGTCGCACCCACTCCGGGAATGTACGTGGAGATCTCGTATCCAGAAGACTCATCCAAGACCACCATCTGTGTGAGAGAGCCTTATCAATCCGGGAAACTCGTCAAGACCGTGGAGGTGAAGTTGAACGACCAAGGTCAAATCAGTCTCACACTCTACGAAGGCAGAACTGCGGAGGGTGGTGTTGTGCCTTTGGGCTTCTTGTTCACATACCATCCCGAGGCCGGCTATGCACCCATCAGGGAAGTCATGGATGGGCGCAACGACCGCATTAAGGAGTTCTATTATCGGGTCTGGTTTGGTAGCAAGGATGTCCCCTTCGACACCCCTACCACGGCAACATTTAGTGGTGGTCGAGAGACTATCACTGCCCAAGCTGTCGCTGACTTTGTGCACGCTGTTGGCAATACTGGTGAGGCCTTCGTTGATAGGCCCGGAAAGGATGTCTTCGCCCCCATGGACTTTGCCATTGTTGTTGGCTGGCAGGCCATCACCAAGCCCATTTTCCCTCGGACAATCGACGGGGATCTTTTGAAACTGGTCCATCTTTCGAATGGATTCAAAATGGTTCCTGGTGCTCAGCCCTTGAAAGTTGGAGACGTTTTGGACACAACTGCCCAAATCAATGCTGTGATTAACCAAGATTCCGGGAAGATGGTTGAAGTATGCGGTACAATCCACAGAGACGGTCAACCAATCATGCATGTCACCAGTCAATTCCTGTATCGAGGCGCGTACCTGGATTTCGAGAATACCTTCCAGCGCAAGGATGAGGTTCCCATGCAAGTTCACCTTGCTTCAAGCAGGGACGTTGCAATTCTACGGTCGAAAGAGTGGTTCCGTCTGGACGAACCCGACGTCGAATTGTTAGGTCAAACCCTGACTTTCCGTCTCCAGAGTTTGATCCGCTTCAAGAACAAATCCGTATTCAGCCAGGTTCAGACAGTCGGCCAGGTGCTGCTTGAACTTCCCACAAAGGAAGTCATTCAGGTTGCCACAGTGGACTACGAGACCGGAACTTCTCATGGTAATCCGGTCATTGACTATCTTCAACGCAATGGTACGTCCATCGAACAACCGGTTTATTTCGAGAATCCTATTCCGTTGAGCGGAAAGACGCCTCTCGTTTTGCGCGCCCCCGCATCCAATGAAACGTATGCTCGAGTTTCAGGCGATTACAATCCAATCCACGTCTCTCGTGTTTTCTCTAGCTATGCCAATCTTCCCGGGACCATCACACATGGCATGTATACCAGCGCCGCTGTCCGCAGTTTTGTCGAGACCTGGGCTGCTGAAAACAATATCGGCCGTGTTCGAGGCTTCCATGTGTCCCTCGTCGGTATGGTCCTCCCCAATGATATGATCACCGTGAAGTTACAGCATGTCGGTATGGTGGCCGGTCGTAAAATCATCAAGGTCGAGGCCAGCAACAAGGAAACAGAAGACAAGGTTCTGCTTGGCGAAGCTGAAGTCGAGCAACCAGTGACCTCCTATGTCTTCACTGGACAGGGCTCTCAGGAGCAAGGAATGGGTATGGAGCTGTACAGCAGCAGTCCTGTCGCCAGGGAGGTTTGGGATCGGGCAGATCGTCATTTTATCGAGAATTACGGCTTGTCTATCATTGATATCGTCAAAAACAATCCCAAGGAGCTCACCGTCTACTTCGGTGGTCCCCGTGGAAAAGCCATTCGCCAGAACTACATGTCGATGACTTTTGAGACAGTGAACGCGGACGGCTCGATCAAGTCTGAGAAGATCTTCAAAGAAATTGATGAGAACACGACGTCATACACATATCGGTCGCCGTCTGGATTGCTCTCTGCAACCCAGTTCACGCAGCCGGCACTCACACTGATGGAAAAGGCAAGTTTCGAGGATATGCGCTCCAAGGGTCTCGTCCAGAGAGATAGCAGCTTCGCTGGTCATTCTCTGGGTGAATACTCCGCTCTCGCCGCTCTTGCGGATGTCATGCCTATTGAGAGTCTGGTTTCCGTCGTGTTCTATAGGGGTTTGACCATGCAGGTGGCTGTCGAAAGAGATGAACAAGGACGTTCGAACTACTCCATGTGCGCCGTCAACCCTAGTCGCATCTCAAAGACATTTAATGAACAGGCCTTGCAATACGTCGTTGAGAACATTGCTGAGCAAACAGGTTGGCTATTGGAAATTGTCAACTACAATGTCGCAAATATGCAGTATGTTGCTGCTGGAGATGTAAGTTCGCCCTTTCTCCTTCCTCAAAATCTCAGCATTCTAACTTCGACAGCTCCGCGCTCTTGATTGCCTTACAAATTTGCTCAACTATCTCAAGGCTCAAAACATCGACATTCCAGCATTAATGCAGAGCATGTCCTTGGATGACTTGAAGGCTCACCTCGTCAAGATCATTCATGAATGTGTCAAACAGACTGAGTCAAAGCCCAAGCCTATTACCTTGGAGCGAGGCTTCGCCACTATTCCGCTGAGAGGAATCGATGTGCCTTTCCACAGCACCTTCCTTCGCTCGGGTGTCAAGCCTTTCCGGTCCTTCCTGCTGAAGAAGATCAACAAAACTACCATCGATCCGAGCAAGTTGATTGGCAAATATATTCCGAACGTCACTGCCCGCCCGTTCGAGATCACAAAGGAGTATTTCGAGGATGTGTACCGACTCACAAACTCTCCTCGGATTGCTCATATCCTGGCAAATTGGGACAAGTATGAAGAAGGAGCTGAGAACACCTCACGCACCACAGGCACCACCACTGCCTGAGAAGTTGAAAGAAGATGCTATTAAAGAGTCCTGGCCTTTTCATGCTATGCTTCCTTTAGCGTTAGGTTCTACTTCATGATGCCCTCGTCTACGCATCTCGTATGATAGCCCAACATAATAGATTTCTGTATTTAGATTTCAATAACATTATATCCTTGTTCTTTATATCATAGCCTTAAAAAATCGATTATATCACAGTGCTCCTCATCGTCACAATGTCAGCTGCCTTCACAGGAGCAAACTGAACACCTGAGAGTCATCCCCATAGTTTGGCCGAGTATGGCAACGCCCTCAAGACGTCGTTATATCGCCATGTCGACATATCAAGTTAAGTGCCAAGTTAACACTAGTGTTGTCCAGAACTTACGCAAGAGGTGAAAGAAATATTGCTCATTCTATGTCCACACATGTAGGTAAAAACAATAACAAAGGCCTTGCGAGCGCCCAGTACTCATGTAGACCGCAGAAGTGTGCATCAGGTGTGGCTCAGTGATGAACCGTCTGAATTACAAGGTCCTGGAGAACAGTGCCTAAGCGTTGTCAGAGTTTCATTTATCTTTGACCATCTTTCAGTACACCTGGTCGCAATAGCCGGTCCTCTTTTCCATACACCCCGACATCCTTGACTATTGCAATGAACTTGCGATGATTCTCCTTCGACTCGCCTATGCGAGGCCGAAAAATTTTCAGAAGATCACTGCTTAGTATACCAGTTTGAGGTATGGCGGCATGAATTTCTGCTGGAGTTGGGAAGCTTAGAGTCCCGGAAGGTCCCGGCGTAGAAATGCGATTTTGCCCTGCATGCACAAGTTAGTTCTATCGACAGACAGGCGGCAGTGAAAACAATGAATATAAAGTGAGATCTTACCCCTCAGTGACTCGGGACTGCTAGCACGACTTGCGGTGAGACCCTTACTGCCTAAAGGAGTTGGACTGCCTGCCCTGGATCCTTGAGGCGTTCCGCCTTGTGATGTTGCTGCAGGTGGGTTAAGCTTCGACTTCTTGATTTTTCCGCTTTCGCTCATTTCCCCTCCAGAGCCGGCTCCCCCATCGGCATCGCTAGCCGATCCCGCGCCGCCTGGGACGTTCCGGACACGTTTCTTACCAACCTGTACCGATAAAAAATGAGTGCAATGAACCTACAGCTACGGTTGGAGAAACTCACTTGTCCTGAAGGCGCAGTTGGCGACAGGGCACGAGAAGTTGGCTGAGGCGTGGGTTGATGAGAAGGATGCTTGCTCTTTGCCTTTTTGCGAGAGGTATCCGTGCCACTTGCATCTGATACATTCGGAGAGCCAAGCCGTTTCCGTGACGCTGCACCTAGGCCCTTCTTCAAAGGTTCAGTGTGCTTTGGACGACCAGATGGGGTAACATTTCCCTTCGTCGACGGAGCTGAATCCTTCTTGTTTTTGTCCTCTTCAGCTTTTCGCTCCTCTTCCCGTAATCGTTCAGCTTCGCTATCATCAGAGCTCTGCATTGGGCGTAACCTCATTAGCATAACTGCATAATCAACCCGAACCCGAACAAACACACCTCTTCATCAGAGTAGGGGTTGGCATCAGAGCCACTGCTATAGTCGTAATTCTTCTCTCGTTTCTTGAGCGCTTTGCGGACCTTTTTGCCCAGTACACGGCGAGCTTCCCGTTCTCTCTTTTCCCTGAGCTCCTCTTCTTCGTATTCTTTTTCATCCTTCAAATCGAAGACGTTGGCCTTCAGCTGATCCTGTTTAATCCGCTTTTCCGCTGCCTTGGTCTCCTCGTCTTCGTTGAAGAGATCATCGTGCTCCTCATCATCTGCAAACCGATCTTCTTCGAAATCCATTTCATCGGCTTCCAGTCCGTCAGCACCTGCTGGGGTGCCTTGTTTACCAGCGTAAACCTTCCGTTGTTTTGCGAATTGTTCCAATTCCTTACGTTGTGCTTGTTCTTGCTGCTTTTCCATAAACCACCTGGGATCTTTGATTTTCTTTGCCATAAATCTTTCCGCTTCTTCAATGGTCAGGGCTCTGAATTGGCTCTTGGCACCGAATTTATACCATTTCTCCACTGGTATCATCCTCATCCTGCCTTTCTCAGGTATGAAAACAGCGTGTGTTTCAGAAAGGGCGGCTTCGTAGTTTCCAACCCAGATATTCTTGTTGTCAAAGTCCTCGAGATGCCAAGGTAAAGCTTCTTCGTATTTAATCCGTGCTCTTGCAACCTCTTCAGGCGTCATGTCTGTCTTCGATACTTGCTGCGTCTTTTGTTTCGGGACGTTAGCCCGTTTGGGTGCTGATCCGATGGAAGGGGCTATTTGCGCCAAATTTTCGGCACGCTCTTTTTCTCTCGCGACCTTTCTAGCTTCAAGCTCCTCCCTCTCGGTATCGCCTAACTGGTGGTTGGATTGAGGTGTTAACTTCTGGGTTTGGGCTTTGTCCTGATTCATCTCTTGCGTCTTTGCTCTAGGGTCTCGACGTTGGAGCCTGACGGGTCGAGTAAATTGAGTCTCATCACGAGGATCGATAGTCTTTTTAGATGCGAAGCGAGCGATGTGATGTTTCAAGCCTTCTCGCAACGATCGCTTGGTGACCACTATGGGATAATCCACATAAGTCTCGGACAGTAAAGGACCGCTGAAACCATTCACTGAGAAATCATTTTGGGATGGACCGGAGGCAGCTTTCTCGGTTTGAATCGCGGGCGTGATATTGGAAATTACTGGACGAGCTGTCGTTGGTTTTGTGGATGTGCCAACAGAGGGGGCAGAAGTGGCTGCTGGTCTTGCTGTAAGCCTCTTCTTTGGCCTGACTAAAGGGTCTGCAACTTTAGGACGTCGAAATCGCATCGGTGGAGCTCTATGAGAACTTGTGGGAGTTTGTGAGTTTGCATCACTAGCAGGCAAAGTCATGGTGACCTATAATTCCACTGCAATCTGCTGAGATGATCTCTAGGTCAAGAGAGGGGTTAGTAGTACTATTAATGAATAAGTAGGAACAACTAGAGTTCCTTTTGCGTGTGGGTAATAAGTGTGAGGCTGATAAGCTAATAATTAGGTAGGTACCTTTCACGTTTCACCTGATAATTCAGAGGCAACAGGAGGTGATGCGATGGATGGATGTTCTTTGTGATTACATAATCTCCTCTTATCAGATTACCATTCACAACTGGGTACAGATAGGGAAGGACTAAGAAGACCAGGGCCGACTACCTTAACAGGGAGTACCATATAGATAGGTCTCTCTATATATATATCTGGAAACTAACTACATGACTGAAGGGAGACAGTACTCCATATCTATGGTTGTAAGACCTGATATAGCCCACATCAGGTACCTCTGGGTATCTGACTTTCTTTAAAGTCCTCGAAAATTGGCAACCATAAGAGAACTTCATGGTGTGCAAACTCAGTGGCATTTAAATAGAGAGGACAGAACAATATATAGAGCTAGTCATTACAAAATAAATAGTGGTTCTTTGGTGCCTGTAAAGTACTATAGCTCATAATAACTATATCAGAGATAGGACTTATTTACTCCGTTCGTACTGTTGCAGTGTGGTTGATCTTATTTCATGTAAATCAGCTCCGTGGCGAAGAGGCTCGATCACTCTGGTCTGCCCCTGGTTCTCAGGTACATATTTAAATAATACTACCATTCATCAATCCCCAACCATCATATTTGCAATATTCTTGAAGATCACAAGAAGCTTTTGTTCAAAACTACAACAGAGATGATTTTGTCTAAATCCAGATGCTTATCACGCCCCGATTGTATCTTACCTCCCAAAGGCCAGATCAGGAAATAGCATCTTCCTTACAATCCAAGTCCCTAAGGTTCCATTCAACTACTGGGTGGCACGCAGACACTCTACAAACCAAACGAGCTACTGATATGTTGTTGGTGCATCAAGCTGGCAGTGTCCGTGTAGGAGAAGCAATCAGGTTCGTCTTCTTGGATCACATTATACGTCTCCTCAGTCCCACCAGGTGTAGTTTCTACATAGTCTACTCATGATACTAATCTGCTGTTCTCAATCAGATACACAGTGACTTACACACCAATAGCTGACAATGTCCATCCTCTTCCAGATGCGCTACATGTCAAAGTCAGAAACACATCTGCCATCCCATTGCGAGCTGCATACCTGCATGGGCCATATACTCTTTATACCTCCTGTTATCCTTCCACATTCAACCCTCACGCCCATTCCGATGAGGAGGAAAACGAGGGAATCCCGCAGTTCGAGCCTTACCTTAAGGCAGGAGGGAGCTGGAAAGCAATGATCCCTATACCGAAACGCCTGCGTCGAATTCCGGATAAGCCCGCAACACCCGACAGCCCTCAGAAAGTGACATGGGTTATCGAGATAATATCGCAGGTTATTTTCTCGACCACAGCTATTGTCAATTATGAGCTACTCATCGGCCGTGATGAGGAATCAGTAGAACTCCCCTATAGTGGTGCGGTATCGATCGGCAGGCTTCACCAGGCAGCTCACCTGCAGGATCATGTAACGCCCACAATGAAAGGCAGGCAAGTGCTTGCTACGAAGGGCGTTTTTTCGAGAGCCATTTGTCTGCGTATAGATGACACCGCCAGCCTCTGGAATAAGCCTCCTTTCCCGTCTGAATATGATTCCGTTGACGGCACTGCATGTCTGTCGAATGAACCACCAACGAACGGGGAATCAGCGGAAAGGGCCAACACAGACAGCACTCGACAAAACTGTGCGCGTCGAAAAAAAGTTCACCTTGTCGTCCTTACCCATGGTCTACACAGCAATCTTGGAGCAGACATGCTTTACTTGAAAGAAAGCATTGACGCTGCAACTAAGAAAACACAGAAAGTGGCATCTTGCAAGTTGAGACAACATGTGAATTCGCAGGCTCCAGATGGCTTCTCTTTTCTAGATGGGTAAGCTTCGAAATTACTTGCATTGAGACAACTATTTGTCGATCTGCTATCCGTTTGACCCTTCTGACTCAATTGTGGCTAAAGGTCCAATCGCGACGATGAGCCTGCCGATCAAGACGATATCGATGACGAACAAGTCATAGTTCGAGGTTTTTCTGGGAATGCAGTACGTACTGAACGCGGAATACAGTATCTCGGCAAGCGACTCGCGAAATACGTCTTGTTCATGACATACCCAGATCAACCGTACAGACCACTAAAGCAACCAAGAACTAAAACGTTCACTGAATCACTCGGTGCGTGGAAGAGTGCAAAGGAAAATGTTTTGCATGACCCTTCTGAGCCTCGGACTCGTGCAGATGAGGTAGACCACGAGCATCGTTCCTATCAGATTACAAGTATTAGCTTTATCGGGCATTCTCTTGGAGGTCTGATTCAAACGTATGCCATTGCATATATTCAGAAACACTCGCCTGATTTCTTTAACCTGATTCGCCCTGTCAACTTCATCGCTCTGGCGACACCTTTCCTTGGGCTCAGCAATGAGAACCCTATGTATGTCCGCTTTGCTCTCGATCTCGGCCTTGTCGGCCGGACAGGGCAGGATTTAGGGCTAAGCTGGACTGCCCCCAGAGTGCGAAGTGGGTGGGAGGCGATAATTGGCGGCAGGGGTACATCTACAAAGCCACGGGAACATGTAGACCATGGACCTAAGCCTTTGCTAAGAGTACTTCCCTGTGGTCCAGCTCATGAGGCGCTCTCTAAGTTTGACCGGCGCACGATCTATTCAAACGTGGTGAATGATGGAATTGTGCCTTTGCGAACTTCATGCCTGTTATTTCTTGATTGGAGAGGATTGGAGCGCGTTGAGAAGGCAAGAAGGCAGAACGGTCTTGTTAGCACAATGGCTGAATGGGGATGGGCAGAGTTGACCGGTGCTAATTCGGTATCGCCTCAATCGGCTCATTCTCCTACCGATAGCAGTGTATCGCCCGCCAGAATTGACCATCGCGATAGCGGCAAGAGCATTTCTTTGTCAGAAGAGACCCAAAGACAAAGACAAGCTGAAACAGTCCAAAATGCTTCCATTGTTGATTCTCCGGTCTTATCCACTGGCGAACCTGCAAGCCATCCGCCCCAAGCAGAGCCAAGCGGCTCAAGACAGAATCAGGGGGCTAAAATGTCTTCCATTCAGCCTTCACTCAACCCGCTGAGCGCGTTTTTCTCGATTTTTCGGCCAAAAAGAGCAACCACTGTGCATTCTAGGCATAAGCATACAAAAGTCTACAAGCGTAGTCAGACTCTGAGTACCACGTCTGGCTTCGCTCAGGTGGCGACCTCTGCACCGTTCCCCCTTGAAGAATCTCTTTCGCGACACTCTTCTTACGAGGAATCCGGGCTTAACGCTCCCCCAAGAACCACCTTTTTTGAATCAGCCGGAGATCTTCTCATGCCACCTCTTCCACCGATTCAGTTTATTGTTGATCCTGCTTCCAGGCCAAAGACAATCTTTCATGACCGTATATACTACCCTGAGGACATACCTCCTCCTTTGTCTGCCAAGCGCAAGACGTTGCCTTTGAGCTCTTTTGAGAGTAAGGCTTCTGACGGTCCGCGTGACTCAGCAGGCTGCATTGAAAGTCGGTCTATAAATGACGGAAATGTGATGCCCAGTGGTCTAAAGGTCGAGGAGAAAATCGCCAGGGCTTATCACCGTGAAATGTCATGGCGCAAGGTCCTTGTTCGCCTTGAACCAGATGCTCACAATAACATTATCGTGAGGCGAATGTTCACAAATGCGTACGGCTGGCCTGTAGTAAAGCATCTCGTTGATAGTCACTTTGGACAGGATTCCCTGGGCGAGAGTCAGAAAGGTTCGGGAGAAAGCGTCCAGGAGGCACATATACCTGTGGAGACAACTTGCGATACGGGTGGTGGAACACAGGCCCAGGCTGGTTTTTTGGATGAAGAAACGACCTTTCCTGCAGGCCATACGGCGCCGGTCAATTTCTCAGCGATGCATAACCAAGCTACTCTCTGGTGAGGGCATGGCCAGTACGCGGTGAGCCCTTTGACCAAGGCCAAGACTCACGATGTGGTGAACAACACCGTTGGTGGGGTACCCAAGCCGTCAATGGCTAGGGTGCGAGAGTCAGACTATTCTTTGATCATGTAGACGAAAATGCCAGTGATTACGAGATCGGATGTGGTCATCTGGACTACGGAGCATAGGCATGCCGGAGAAATAGGTACGCTCAATTGTTATTTATTGCCAAATTGTGTAATGTACACTGTAACATGATGCCGTTCGGACTGCTTTTTCCTGACCCGACTACTCAGTATTGTCAACCCTCTACTTCGTTTGATGCTGAGAGCAATGTTTTTGGTGGCTGGAAGCTGGCAGTTTCGAGGGAGTGCTTGGATGCGCTCGACTCACTACTCAAATCAATACTCGAGACGGCCTTGTATATGTCCCCAGAACTCTTCAATGAGCTCCTTCTGTCCTGCTTGATCTGGCGATCCTCGGACTGCGAGATACTTTCGCCCATCAACGCTTGCTTCCCAGTTGCCTGGGTTCCCATCAACGATTATACCGCCAGCTTCTGACAGAATGACCCAGCCAGCGCAAACATCCCACGCCCAGCAACCACCTTCCCAATACAAATCGAGATTCCCGGATGCGACGGCGCAAAGGTTTAATGCAGCTGAGCCCATGCTACGCATCGAGCGTACCATTGCACCACCGTCATCCTTGGTTTTACCGAGCTTCTCAAATGTCCGTATCTTTGTCGCCCAATTCTTGCCTGCTCTTTCCGAACCCCACTCAACGGCGATGAGAGCATTCTCTAGGCCATCCAGTGGCTCTAGACTCCTGGCGTCGAGGGGAAGTTTAGTGTCGCGATTTAAATATGCCCCTTGTCCACGAATGGCAGAATAGAGGGTATTGCTGAACGGATTGTAAACAACACCAACGACCGGTTTCCTGTCAATCGTAAAGCCGAGAGAGATGCATGCATATGGAAATCCGTGCACAAAATTGACTGTACCGTCGATGGGATCGACGACGAAGGTGGGGGCATCAGTTAATGGAGTTGCGGGGTCATACGTCTCCTCGCCATGAAATCTATAGTGGTGAGGAGGAACTATTAGCTCTTCTCATCGCTTAATGAGTAGGAGAGGAGCCTGAAATTAGGATCTAGATCCATAACGATCGCTTTGGCCTGTTGGCGACCTTTATAAAAAGGGTCGAATGGTACTTAACTGATACTGCGGATATCTCCCTGCTAACGCTGCAGATATCATTTTCTCAACCGCACGATCATATTCAGTGACGAGATCTGCGCCTATGGAAGAGGTCAATACCTTAGACCCAGCTGGGGACAGACTTAAAACTCACTGTTTTTCTTTGACCCTGTACTTCCCGTGTTCGGCAAGGCATTGGTAATGATCTCTCCAGCCTTGGAAGCTAGTTCTATCAGAAAATCATGGATATCCTTGAGGTCGATTGTTTCTGCGCCCATGTTTCTATTCTTCCCTCCTTGGTAATCTATCTTCGAGGAGATGACTCTTTTGACTCTCTTCCCTTGGAGGAAGTCCAGCTGGATGTTCTTGAATGATTCTGAGGCCCGCCGTTAAAGTTCGTGTGTCAGAACGGTCGACTTTTAGCCTAATGAGCCATTCACATATATATAGACATTATTCCGGCCCACTTCCTTACCTAGACTATCCCCCAAGCGCTCACTGCTTGCTAGGGAACACGGAGTACTCCATACTGTTTCATCAGTTTGATTATCTTAGAAATCACTGGCTTGCATTCACTACGCTACCTAGAGTTGTTCTCCTGTACCTGCTGTTATGAGGTAAAAAGACAAGATTTATTAGACGGTGTATTCGAGACTAGATGAATCCTGGAAAGAACCATGATCGCAAAGCTGTCGAGGGTTGATGGTAGGTATTCGAATTTAACCTATATTGAGTAATACAGGGAAACAGCGGAGGTACTGACAGCAATTGGGTGACGCCGATGCTACTAGATGGAATCGATAACAATAGAATCAAAACGTAGGTGTGATTTTTCTACCTACCTATCCATGGAGCTCAATCTTTTTAGGTCTAAGATACATGAGGTAGTACTCCATGTATCAGACTACTACATACCCCTCTAGTCTACCTAATAACCAGAGGAGGGGTAAGTAGGTACGTTAAGTTCTTCTCATCATAACCCCACACCAGTGACGTTGGAGAAAAGTCCCCGCACCAAAAATTTTCCTGTAGAAGAGGGACTGTATGTATCACTCACTTACCTGCAATAATAGCAGCCAACAAAAGAGAAAAAAAGAGAGGAAAAGGGGAAAATTAAAACCCCTGTCTTCAATTTATACTCTATTGTCTGTTCCTCCCTTTTCGCTCCCTGGAATTCCCCCTCAGTATGCCAACAGTGTTAGAAGAGGTGAGTGGCGAGGTCCCTGACTATTAGCTGGAGACATGAGAACAAAGAAAGATGAAATGGAGGAGAAATACCTCTAGTAGGGAAAGCAAGTGAAATTGGGAGATCTCTTTAAGGGAAGGATCAGGGAAGCTAATCAGTCCATATCTCTCCGTGGATACAGCTTGTGGAATTCCTTCACCATGGAAATTCTCAGATAAGACAAATTGGTAGAAACGTCCCTCTTCATCAGGCAGCCTGAACACTCAAACATCACTCGAATGGTCTAACGCCTGTGTCCGAACTAGCATGCGAAAACCTCGTTGGCTTCTCGACCGCTCAACCAGGCCTCTTCAAACGTCATCAGCTTCTGCCAGTGCGCGACCTCAAGCTTCTGGTTCGAGATTATACTGTTAGTAATAGGGTTCTAACATATCAAATTCGGACATGGTCTTGCTGAAACCAACTAGCCAATCGCGAAGAATGCGCTCACAATTCTCATCAATATCTCTTCTGATCAGGAAGTATTGGCAAATCTTGCAGAAGATGACGCGTTCTTAGAGACTCTCATGGTGAAAATAACGGTGAGTATACTGACCTCTTCTCCCTGCAACGATGAGGAGATCGGTGCCTATGCTGACAACACGGACATCCTGAAGGACGTCAAGGAACCAATTGCGGATGACATTGCTATGCTCTTCGCCAATCTCGCCAAGTCAGATAAATTGAGCCGGCTCATTGCGTTAAAACGGAGGACAGCCGAATCCGTTTCCACATCTACTATGGCGATCGATCAATTGATGGATTGTTTTGTGAAAGGTGCTGAGGGTGCTTTAAACAAGAAGGCCAATTTTGATTATCTCTCATACTTATTCGCGGATCTCTCCAAATCTGAAGCAGGGCGCGCATATTTTACCACCCGACAGGATTATGATGGTGTTGTCCCTGTCACTAAATTGACTGTCTTCACTGAGCATGAAAGCGCAGTTCGGAGAAAGGGGGTTGCGTCAACGATTAAAAATGTCGCTTTCGAAATTCCGTTTCACTCGACTCTGCTCTCGGAAGACGAAGCCAATCTACTTCCTTACGTGTTACTGCCGATCACAGGGCCGGAGGAGTTCAGCGAGGAAGAGTCGGTGGCAATGTTGCCGGACCTGCAGTTGCTATCCCCCGATAAGCAGAGGGATAGTGATAACAGCATCATTGTAACGCATCTTGAGACATTATTACTGCTGACAACGACACGAGAAGGTCGGGACAAGATGAGGGCGATCAATGTGTATCCGATCATCCGGGAATGTCATCTCCATGTTGATGATGAGGATGTGCGCGAAGCCTGTGACAGGCTAGTCCAGGTGCTGCTGCGTGATGAGGAGGGAGAGGAAAAACCCAGCCAAGCTCAAATTGAAGGCACAGATCCTAGCTCTTCTGATGCTATTCATGTACAGCAAGGGTCTGCACAGAATGACGATGAAAAAGTTGTGGAATTGTTCTGAATGTGAATGGCTTTTCTTTCTGTTGGATTCATTGGGGACAAAAAAGGTAGCTTATGTCATGAATACAATATCAGCTAACGTAATCGGTAAGCGAGCGGATCACGCAACCGAGCGGATCACCCAACCATATTATATCGAAAAGGAAGGCTATTTTCAACCCCTAAAATAACTTTGCATTACTAAAACTAGCTATTCTTGCGCTGCGGACATTGCGTTCGCCTATGTCCTAGAATATGGCAGTCACTGCAGCGTGGGGGGGGCCCGTTGAGGGCGTTGTTCTACATCTACTGCCTGCTCTGTAGGGATAGTTGGGATAGCTTCCTCAGCCTGATTCCTGCGTTGAATGAGCTCCTGCCCTTGCTGGATAGAAAATCCCTCTG